GGCTGGCAACCGGGAGGAGCAGGAGAAGCTCATGGACTTTGAAAGGGATGAAGAGCTCTGGCAATGGTGGCTGAAAATCAGATGGGGAAGAGAACCTTGGCGGGAGCACCATCAACCTGGATGAGGAGAAGCAGCAACAAAATTTCTCTGCTTCCTCTACCACCATCCTGGATGAGGAGCCCATGGTGAACAGAGGGCTGGCAGCTGCCCTGCTCCTGTGTCTGAACAAAGGACTGCTGGAGACCACAGTACAAAAGGTGGCCAGGGTGAAGGCTCCCAGGAAGTCAGTGCCCTCAGCTGTGTATTGCATCGAGGATAAGATGGCCATCGATGATAAGTACAGCCAGCACGAGGAGCACAGGGACTTCACCCAGGACTTCAAGGAGAAGGACAGTTACAAGCCTGATGTTAGATTGAGTATGTGGACAAGACCGGCAGGAAACTGACATCCGGGAGGTTTCAGGCAGATCTCCCACCGCTTCCACGGGAAGGGTTCAGGCAAGATGAAGACTGAGCGGCAGATGAAGAAGCTGGATGAGGAAGCGCTCCTGCAGAAGATGAGTTCCAGTGATACACCCCTGGGCACTGTGGCATTGCTCCAGGAGAAGCTGAAGACCCAAAAGACACCATACCTGTGCTCAGTGGAATCAGCAAGAGCATGAACGCAAACACCATCACCAAATGAAGCTGCCTTCCTCCCTGCCCTCCCATATGTTAAATAAAGTCCCCTCATTTTTTCATAAATAGTTTTTTTTAAAAGCCTTTTCATTTACCAGAGGGATAATTAAAAGAATTTAAAAGCTAAGACAGGAAGTCACATAAATAATAAAGGAAGTAAAATACTGTCATGGCTTATGCCTATACCGAGCACTTGGGAGGCTGAGGATGGAGGATTGCTTAAAGCTAAAGACAAGCTTGAACCACAGACATTGCTGTATTTACAAAAAGTTGAGTCATTGGGAAGGAGTCACACCATACAACTGGCCCCCATGGGAGGTTTATTGAGGGGAACAGAGGGGGCAGAGTTGGGTCTCTGGAGATAAGACTGAAGGAAGAGAAAGAGACAAGAGGTTTACAAGGCTCGTCCTATGTAAGGAAACATAGGAAATGTGCACAGGGGGTGCTCTTAGTGGCTGTAACTGAGATATATCCTGTCAGGACACTGAGGGCAGGCAAGGTGTCCTAAATGCTAATAACAGCCTGTCTCCACAAGCAACACTCCTCCTTTCCGAGGCTCTCAGAATCTGGTCCAGTTTTCAAAATAATTTACTTTGCTTTATGTATGTATTTGTGTGCATGCACATATGGTTCTCATAGAGGTCTGAAGAGGACATTGGGTTCTCTGGGACTGCAGTTACAAGAGCTACCATATAACCTGAGTGCTGAAACCCAAAGTCAGGTCTTCCAGACAGAGCATGCTTTCTTAATCCCTGAGCCCTCGTTCTCTGCAGGTCTGGTCCCATCCCATCTTAATTATACTTCTTAACCATAGCTCTGAGGATCTGGTGACCTGGAACTTCCAGAAGGCTATTGCATTTTGAAATAACTTATGGTATAATTTACCCCCAAATCTAAACATATACATGGTAATAGACCATCATATAGGTAGCTAGAGTTCCTGCATGCCATATGAGTTGAGCTTTATTAATGTCTTGAGAGCAAAAATGTACACTTAATATGAGACCCAACTGATCCAATAGCTTATCCCTGCATGGCAGAGCGGTATCAAGAACATCACAGGAGATACAAAACGAATGTCAGACCCAGGTGGAAGCTGTGCTGTGAAATGCAATCTCATGACTGTCATACTTATGAGCAGTTACACAAGACCAAGCCAGTGAAAAGTCCTTATATGTAGGGGAGGAGCTTGTAAGACCCACCCTTAGCTGAGGAACTGCTGGTGTGATGCTTGCAGGAGAAAGGAGACTCATTTTCTTGGAGTCTGGTTGCCCATGATCAAATGGATGGCCCCACACAACAGCTCATATAGTTCACACTAATTGAACTCATAGTTTGTGCATAAGTGTTTTCTCTGCCCAAAATGTGTACTTCTCACGTGTGTCTGGAGCTCATAGAGTTTAGAAGATGACATCAGATCCTGTGGGACTGGAGTCAGTTTTTTGTGAAAGGTGTTGGGGACTGAACCTGGGTACTCTGCATGAACAACAAGTGCTCTTAACCTCTGAGCTAGCTCTCCATCCCAGGGTTATGTTCTTTTTAAGGGCATGGAGTTAAGAAAAGCATGCAAGATGTGTAGGGGAAAGGCTCCAGGAAAGTCGGGAGGGAATGGATGAGAGTGATGATCAAAGGACATTACATTCATGCATGGAAATCTCAAGGGACTATTTGAAAATACATATTTATATATAAGTTTATATACATATTTACACACACACACACACACACACACACACATACACACACTACACACGAGAATTTTTTTAAAGCATTTGTGGGCCAGGGAGATGGCACAATAGAAAATACTTGCTGTTTATACTAATGAATTGTTTAAATCCCCATGAGACACATGATGGAAAAAAAATCACCTAGTTGTCCTCTGACCTCCACACACATACTATGGCACCAAGTACCCACATATAAACAAGGGAATAAAGTCTCCTGAGTGGAGTTGAGAAACTAAAGGGGGAAGGGGAGGGACTGGAGAGATGGCTCAGCTGTTCAAGCATGTGTTGCTCTGGCAGAGGACTAGAGTTTGGCTCCCAACTTCCATGCAGGTCACTCACAAAGGTCTGCAAGGCCAGCTCTAGTTCCAAGAAATATCTTCTCCTGGGGCTCCAGGGCACTGACACTCACAGGCACACTCACACCATCACTCCTCCTGTCCTCCCCAAATAAAATTATAAATTTTAAGACACCAAAGGGTTAAAAAAGAAAGAAAGAAATGAAACTAAAAGGTGTAACTTCATGTGATGGTGCACTCATCCAAGATGACGAGGCAGGATTATGATGCTAACAAAGTTGGATTGTATCAGAATGAGAAATCCAAAGTGTAAAGCAGCTGTTGCCTCCTGGACCTTGGAAAGCTGAGACAAGGATTGCTGGAGTTTGAGACCAGTCTGGGCTATATAGCATGTTCCAGGTCAGCAGGGGCTAAAAGGAGAGACTTGCCTCAAAAATACACACCCCATAAAAAGTAAAAAAATATATATATAACACAAAACTCAAACCAGGTCTGGTGAGGTGGCTCATCTGGTAAAGGAACTTACCATCAAGGCTGAGACTTGACTTTAACCCAAGAACCAGATAATTGAATAAGAGAACCCCATTTGTTCTGAGTTCCACAATTACTGTAGCACATACTCCAAAGAAATGTGACTGAAAATTAAAATTTGGGGGGTTGGAGGTGGCTTAGGGGTTAAGAGCCATTGCTGTTCTTCTAGAGGACCCCAATCCAGTCCTATTATCCTCAGACTGCCCACAGTATAACTATAACTCCAGCTACAAGCCACACCCCTTTTCTGGCCTCTTTTAGAACCTGCATTCATGTCCCACAAATTTTATATATAATTAGGTAGAGTCTCACTCCATAGCAATGACTGGCCAGTAATTCAGAGAGCCATATGTAGGCATTTACCACCACACCCAGCATAAAAAAAAAACTGAAAAATTTTAAGGGACTAGTGTGGGGCGTTTACCCACCACCCCCACAGCTTCCCAGAGTTTTCTTGAGTGCGATCAGCAGGAAATATTAGATAGAAAGATTTATAGCAGAGAATCTTGCAGAGATAAACAGATAGAAAATAAAGGATAGCCTCGAGAGGGCCTGGAACCTATT